AGATAGTTCACCTTGAATTTCTTGTTTTTAGCACAAACTATCGAATCACCATGGGCGTTATGCCGGCGGTCGCAACAGCTCATTTGTACTGGTTCAGAAATAATAAAGCATTTGGGATCTGCAACAGGGAAAGAAAACCTGTGTTTTTGAGACGAAACATTCGTCGAATGAAATGTTTTCGAATAGAATCAATAAATAACCCATTGCTATTTTGTGTTTCGAACAGGAACTCTGTAGACCTAAACTCTTGGAGACAACTAGGCAGTAATAAACGTGTGCCCTATTATATATCCATTTCTAATGGCTAGTATTTCGTTTGAAAAAAACGCAATACTGCAGTCATTCTTAGAGAGTTATGTGAACAAATGCAGGATCCTCGAAAGTGCACGTGGTTTGCCATGTATATACTATGAAAACATGTTTCCGTTTATTGTTTCACCTACTCTCTTGACGTAGTAAAAATGGTGACGAACTTGGTCATCAAGACCAGGTGCATTGCGCATCTGTGATCACGAACAGGCGGATCCTTCGCTTCATCGTAGAACATAAACACGTCAGTTCTGACCAAAACAATAAGCGATATTCCCCGTTGTCATATTGATGCTCAAAGACAGTAAAGCTACCAGCCGTTTGTAGAAAACACAAAAGTTCCATACAAGGCTAGTTTTCTAGCAGATGCTATCAAACAATTACACGTATTCAAAGCATTCACAATCATAGGCCGCATTTGTTTCTCTCCTGATTGTCTCAGACAGATTCGGATGAATAAGTCAGAATTTCGCGAGACAAATGGGGCAGCCATTCCTGTTTTTCCCATAAGTACTTCATAATATCTGTAAACAACAAGATCTTAAAAACTTTTGCACATCTCGTATGAAAACACTAGGGTAACTTTTGTGTTCCCAGCGGTGCACTAACATTCCTAAAATGGAGAGAAGGAGATGAAGCCCTGAAATGTACTTCGACTGACCTAAACAACAATGATATTTCAAACACGACCAATAGATATTCGTATTAACGAGTAAGTAGTGTTGCCTGTGTATTGTGCTGCAGAAATTGTTACATAAGGCAATTTTGAGGTGGTTCAACCTTGTTACTTGCACATTTGTCTGGAAAAGCTTAGAAACTTTTACCGCATTTGAGTGTTTTTAGGCGGTATAACCAAAATACCAGTGTACTACTATAGAAAACATCAAAGATAAATGGGCGCTAGTAAGTAATTCGTGTTCCGAACTGTTTAGGGCAGAAAAATAAATCTCTTTTTTTTACAAATAAAAGTGAGCCAGCTCTACTAATGATGGACGGTAACCAGAATGATTTGAATACCATCGGTCCCTTCGTACTTTCATTCAACAAAATTTTTAAATTCTCATAGAAAATTGAAAGAAATGGAAAAATATAAGGCAAAATTTGTCCATTTTGTTGGTAAACTAGAGTGATATGATCAAACATAAGGGTATTCTCACGGTTCAACACATCCGGGTCCACGGTGCTTTCGTGTATTTGTTTGGCCGTTTACCTTTATGATAAATGAGTTTGCATTCGTACCACATATTTTTCCTACAAAACGAACAACGTTCTTGTGCGTATGCAGAAAATTGTGGATTTGAATGGCTTGCATGGTGTTACATTTTTAATTGCTTATGTGCACGGATGAGGAAGTTGGGAAAAAGGCGGGCGGAATATTGATATGACCAGTGATGCTTCAACTTGTTTTCGCTACAGAAGTCGTCGACCCGTGTTTCTTCCTCCGAACACTGCTCGTTCCGCTGTCAAATCTTGTCCAAAACCAAATACAATGCCCTCAAAGCTCTGGTCACTGTAAACGTCTTCCCATTTGCCCTTCAACTCCAAAACCAATGGAGTTTTTTCCCAGTATTTTCTATATCCATGCTTTGGCAAGACATTTCTATTGAGATCGTGGAGGGATTGTATGACCTCGTTTATCACTCCCCAACAAATTACCCTACGATGTACCTAAGAGCTCCGTTGTTCACTGGATAGAAATGTTTGGTGAACAACAAACTCAACTTTGTTCACAAATGTTAAACTCGGAGATTACATGCCATCTCATGTTGTGGGAGACATGAAGCTTTCATTGGCATCACATAAAATGGATTACTGTAAACAAAGACATCTGCAGTTCAAACGCCTTTCTCAGTCTACGACACATTTTCGGGTCCATCAATTTAGGTGTTTCGATTGATAAGTTAACCATCGCCGCTGGTAGAATGCCCAATATAAATCTCGCGAACAAGTAACTCCAATCGTGTGTCACAACTCACAGAACAAACAAACAACATAACCTCCCAAATCAATGCTGTAGTCGTTGATGTTAGCCCTTAAAGTCCGGGGGTCGACCGACGATAATGTCATGATCGTTCTGCATCTTGCTTTTGACAATCCTAATAGTTACCACCGATCTTTTAAGGAGAAGGACCGTCGGTGATAGTCACCTAGGACTTTCACAGCAATGGTTTTGTGATTTACCCTCTAGCCTCATTTATATAGGGTTTTCTGGTCAGTGATCTGGGATTTATGCAAACATTGGCGGACGGTCATAACAGTACTTATAATAATACCCTGTTCGGGGTGATGAGTACCGTCTAGCAACTATCCGTGTCTGAAATGTATAAATTCTATCAGTACTAAATTTGCTTGGCGTTACAGCGTCTTTTTGCACCAAACATACAACTTCGGGTGGTACTGACCTCGGGCGAGCATCTCAACTACCGTCAGCATGGTTGAAGTCGTTTGGGTTGGCACTCAATTTGGAAAAGTTAGAGCGTAAAATTTCGGCTAGGTCTCAGGTGATTAGAGTTTTCACTTACAAACTGGTGAGCTGCCTTAACCAAGGATGCCTATGAAATCGATTCCCACGATACTCTCAGTCAGCAATTAGTCAACCCGTGTTCAGTCGGACGATGGACAGGTCAGACAATTTCAATCAAATACCATTTCTGCCAGCTCCACCTTCTGAGATGTCTAAATTGGTAGGTGCAGTGACAAAAAGAGTCGTATCTAGAGAGAGTTTTCCTAAATACATAAAGAAGTTTCAGTGAATGCTCACCACGGAAAGGAATCTGCGTAACTATAGCTAGCAAAGAAACAGGAAGAGAAAAGGGAGGTTGAGCAGGAATCACCTCGTATAGATGATGCAAGGCATTTTCACTTTCACAATTCAGTCGCTGGCCGTTTCTAATTTGCATGCGCTCTGAAAACTATCAAAATAACTGCAAGAATTGCTATAATAAATGAAGCAAATACTTTTATAGCTGTCGACGGGAGTGGGTGCTTTTTATTGGTATCATTGTAACATAGCAGCGCCGACTACGCCGAAGCTACAAGGTTCGATAAACAAGAGAAAACTTGTCAGTGGTATGAGTCTGTTCCATGTGAGACAAGACATTCGGACATGCAGCTGAAGTCATTTCACTGATGCACATGAACGACGCAACTTAGCACAAAACTTTAAGAAACCGTTATTTATTCAAGTTCAAATGGAACAACAATTTCTTATACGGTCAAACATCAATGGGTACTATGTTTCACATGAACATGTGGTGACAAATGCAGAGGAGAATTGAGACCGCGGAATGTATGCGAAGTAGAAAAACGAGAGTTCCTTACACCCTTTCTTTATCTGCTTCAGGTCGAAGAAGCGAAACGGCAGAGAAACGGCGGATTATCAATAAAAACATCATCATCCAAAACATCTACATCAATTTCAAATTCATCATCGTCATCATAATCTACATCCGCATCATCATGAACATCAACACCATTATTTTTGTCATCATCCGAATAATCATCACCATCATCATCATTATCATCAGCAATTTAATCATCAACATCAGCATCAACATCATCATCCAGATCATCATAAAATTCAACATCAATTTCATCATCATCATCATCATCATCATCATCATCATCATCATCATCATCATCATCATCATCATCATCATCAACATCAACATCATCATCATCATCATCATCATCATCATAATCATCATAATCATCATCATCATCATTATCATCAACATCTTGAACATCATCATCATCATCATCATCATCATCATCAACATCACCATCATCAGCATCATCAGCATCACCATCATCATCATCATTATCATCATATTACTGTCATCGTCATCATCATCATCATTATCATCAACGTCTTCATACACACCATCTTATTCATCAATTTGAACATCATCGACTTTATTTTAATCATCATTATCATCAACACCATCACCACCATTATCATCATGAACATCAAAATCATCACCTTCATCATCATCATCAGCATCATCTTCTTCTTCCTCATCCATCTAATCATCATCAACATCAGCATCACCATCATCATCACGAACGTCTTCATCCAAAATCTCTTCATCACCATGGTCCGAGTAATTATCATCATGATCACCATAATCTGAATCATCATCAACAACATCATTATAATCAACTTCATAATCATCGGTTTCACCATCATCATCATTATTGTTTTCATCAAAATCATCCTCATTATCATCATATTCATATTCAACACCATCATCTTCAATGGTCACCAACTTAATCTACGCCATTTTCAACTAAATAATCTACTATATCATCATCATCAACATTATCAACCGAATATTTATCATTATTATCTTCATCATGAACATCATCCGAATCATCATCATAATTGTCATCGTCAACATTATCATGATCATCATCTTCATAAACTCCATCATCATCTTGATCATCATCATCATCAATGTCATCAACGATATAAGCATCATATTCATCCGAATAAAAATCATCACCTTCGTCCGAATCACAATCATCATGTTCATCATAAATTTCATCACCATCATCGTCATCATCATCGTCGTCATCATCATCATTATTACCAGCATCATCATCATCAACATCCTCAACCGCATCTTAATCTTCATCATCATCATCATCATCATCATCATTAACATCATCATCAAAATATCATCAACAATTTAATCAACATCAAAATCCTTATCATCATGATCATGATCATCATCATCATCATCATCATCATCATCATCATCATCATCATCATCATCATCATCATCATCATCATCATCATCATCATCATCATCATCATCAACATCAACATCATCATCATCATCATCATCATAATCATCATAATCATCATCATCATCATCATCATCATCATCATCATCATCATCATCATCATCATCATCATCATCATCATCATCATCATCATGAACATCATCATCATCATCATCATCATCAACATCATCATCATCATAATCATCTTCATCATCATCATCAACATCAACTTCATTATCATGAACTTCATCATCATTATCAGCATCACCATCAACATCTTCGACTCTCTTGTCATCAACATCATCATCATCTTCATCATTATCTCCATCACCAACGTCATCTTTCGAAATTTCATCATCACCATAGTCCGAATAACGATCATAATAATCATTTTCTTGATCGTCATCAACAAAATCATCATCATGAGCATCATTATCTTCATCATCGTCATCATCAGAATCGTTGTCATCAAAAGCATGGTCATTATACTTGTCATCATCAACGTCATCTTCGTCATCAGAATCTTCATTATCAGCATCATCCTATTCATCGCCAGTTTCAAATTACCGAATTTCCTTAGCATTATCATAATCATCATCATCATCATCATGATTATCAAAATATTCATTATCAAATTCATCAACTTCATCATTATCAACAGCATCATCATCATCGTCAACATCATCATCTACTTCATCATCATCATCATGATCAACAAATCATCATTTTCTTGAGAATAATATTCGTCAAATTCGTAATAATAAAATCATCATCATCATAAACATCACCATCATCATCATTATCAATCGAATCATTATCATTATTCTCTTCATGTTCACCATCATCATCCGAAACATCATAATAAATATCATCATCTTTATCATCATGATCAACATTTTCATAAACGTCTTCATAATTTATCAACGTCGACAGCATCATCATCGTCATTGTCATCATCATCAACAGCATGGTCTTCTTCATCACCAACATCAACATCATGTACATCATAATCATAAACTTCATCAAAATCATCTGAATATAATTAATCAATATCATCCGATCAACAACCATCATCATCACCAACAACATAATCATCATCAACATCGTCATAATAATCGTCAAAATATTAACATCAAAATCATAATCAACATCGTTATAAAAATCATCATCTTATTCAGATATCCATATCCATATCATCATCATCATCATCATCATCATCATCATCATCATCATCATCATTATCATCATCATCACCATCATCCTCTTCATCATTATCATCATCATCCACATCATCAACAATAATATTATCATCATCATCATCATCATCATCAACATCCTCATCATAACCATCCTCCGAATCATCATTATCATCATCATCAATTTACGAAAAATCAAGCAAATAATCGCACGATCTATCAACATCAACATCGTCATCATCATGGTATTCATCATGATCATCATCATCAACATCGTAATCAACATCAACATCCTCGTGAACATTAGCGTCAGCATCTTTATATTCATCATCATCATCATCATCATCACCCTTGTCCGAATATTCATCATCAACATCGACGATAGAACCAGCAACATCATCAACATCATCATCATACACATTATCATCATCATCATCTACGTCATCAACATCATCATCATAAACATCATCTTCAACTGCATCATCATCTTCATAGTGATCATCCAAATAATCATCATCACCATCGTCCTATGGAACATCAACCATATCATCATCATCATCATCTTCATCATCATCATCATGATCATCATCCCATCATCATACTCAACGTCATCATCGTCATTATCGACATCTTCATAGTAATTTTCCAAAAATTCTTCTTCACCATCGTCCGAAAAACCATCACTTTCATCATTATCAATATCAACAACATCATCGTCATCAATATAATTAACATATTCAACATCATCATCATCATCAACATCGACATCCTCATCAACATCATCATTCTCGTGAACATTATCATCATCATCTTTATCTTCAACTTAATCATCCTCAATATCATCATCGTCAACGTCCAAATATCCATCATTACCATCGACGAAGGAAACAGCACCATCAAGAAGTTCAGCATCATCATATACGTCATCAACATCATCCATTGTGTCATCAACATTATCATCATAAACATCTTACTCAACATCATCATCATCTTCATAGTAATCATCCGAATATTCATCAGCACCATCGTCCTAGAAACAATCAAAATAATCTATATCATCAACTTCATCATCATCATCATCATCATCATCATCATCATCATCATCATCATCATCATCATCATCATCATCATCATCATCATCATCATCATCACAATCATCATCATGATCATCATCATCATTACCATCATCATCATCATCATCATCATCATCATCAACTTCTTATTCATATTCATTATCATCATCTTCAACATCATCAACATCATCGTCATCATCAACTTCATCACCAACCTAATCATGATCGTTATCATCATTATCATCATCAACATCATTGTACGTTCCGTAAATATCTGCTATCAACAATGCGAGTAGAACAACTTCCCCGGTCCAGCTTCTCCACTTGGTTCGGCCACAATTCGTGCCGGACGCAAGCGCATTACACGTTCATACGTCGCTGGATCATTTCTTAACGGTTCATACACTCACGCACATTCACGCACGGCACTGCTCCCATCATGTGTTGTCCTCACACGCCATCACGCGCACCGCACGATTATCGATTTCTGCTCCGTGATCGTTGACACAAGCACGCTCATGTGACCACATGTTTGTTGTCTCGGTATGGAGTCATGTGGTGACATGCACACACACTCATGACCGCTCTCTGTATGAGACACACGGACTGACGTTCATTCATCACGGTTTCCCCCATATCACGATGACCCAGAGTACCACACTTGAACTCGCACTAGTGATCACTGTTCACACGAGACCACTGGAAAAGGAGTACACACACACACACACACATACACACACACACGCACACACACAGACTAAACCGTTGGCCCTATGACCATTCCACCGCACGCACACACCTGACACACCCAATCAGCTCCCAACGTGTTACGGGTCAATTCCCTCAACCGGGACTACTCGACATTCGGTCGTACTGTTTGACACGAGTCGCACTGACAGTTTTCGCCGTACGTTTGGAGATGTTCAGTTAACCGTGTTAATTACAACCAACGTCTATTGACTGTGCGTCTATTAGGTGGTTGGGACGCGAAGTAGACTGACCCAAACGGAAGTATCCTAGAAAGGCTTTAACGCGGCTAGGAATAACGATGCAGACAATCCTAAAGAAATCATCCAGTTCTTCAGGGAGCGGACACGAATGTTGGAAAAGGAGCTCGCCAAGAAAGCTTCAATAACGGATTACACCAAAGCCCTGGATGTACCCCACAGTGGATATAAAACTTGCGGTGAGTCATCAGTGGCCGATGATTTGCGGTCGCTGAGTCCCAGTGAAACTGAAATTAAGCCTTCAGTCAGTCGTTTTGACCTCCCAGTAGGCAAAGGTTCAGGTCATAATCACCAATGTCAGACATTTGCTATGTCACAATTCTCACTACCTCAACATGAGATGATATATTTTGATGGTAACCCCTTAAGGTACTGGTTGTTCACAAGAAATTTCCAAAGTGCCATCGCCGGAAGGGGTTTGGATAATGAAAGCCGACTGTCATACCTAATTTATTACTGTCAGGGAGAAGCGAAGAATGCCATCGAGAACTGTGCCATCCTGGAACCAGATAAAGGATATAACGAAGCTCTGAGTATATTAAAAAGACGATTCGGGCAGCCCTATGTGATCTCTAGGGCATTCATAGATGACTTGATGGACGGCCCGGTCATCAAATCCATGGACTCATCCACTTTACTAAAGTTAGCTGGACAAATGAAGGATTGTCACAATACGTTGCGCCAGATAAATCATTTGTCCGACCTAAATGCTTCGAGAACGTTAGGTGCTATTGTGAGACGTTTACCCCAACCTTTGCAGTTTCGTTGGGCCGAAGTTGTCTCATCCATTATGCGCCTAGGTCGAGAGGCAACCTTCATGGATCTTACGAAATTCGTAAACGAAAGGGCTGACGTACTTATGATGCATCAGTCTTATACGCTCCCTTCGACCGCGACCCACAGTTATGCTCCTATTCTTCGTGAACCACCGTTTAAGATTTCGACGCACCACACGCAAACGACGGTGTCGTCGGCACCGCATCAGACACCTATTCAAAGTAGTCAGTGTCTTCAGTGTGGCGAATCACATTACACTGATCAGTGTAGAATGTTCATTGCAATGAATTTACAAAAAAGACTGGAATTTGTCGATCATCGTCGATTATGCGGTTTATGCCTGAAGCCGAACCATGTAGCAGACGATTGCAGATCACTTGGGTCATGTGGCGTCTCAAGATGCTCTTTGCGCCACCACCCCTTGCTTTGTTCGAATATCGCAGACAATGGCCCCGAATCCGGAACCAATAAGGAGATAACCCGCTGTCTCTCAACGTTCACAAAAGAGTCAGTTACTTCGTTAGGTGGATTACCAGTCAGAGTATTCGGACCTCTCGGATCAGTCAACACCCACGCATTCCTCGACAACCGTTCGGACGCCACCCTAATGGATCAAGATTTGGTGAAGCAGTTAGGCGTAACAGCTGAACCATCAAAGTTATCGGTATCTACTGTTGTTCAAACTGCAGAGAAGAATTCAGAGGTGGTTAGTTTTGAGTTGAGTGGATTAGATAAGAAAGAACGTCTTGAAATCAAAAGATCCTGGTCTGTATCTAGCCTATCCCAAGTCACGGGAATTGCGCTGGCAGCAAACCCATCTGCGAGTTGGAAGCACTTACAGGGCGTTAAAATTCCTGCCCTCAAAGGAGCAAAAGTGTCTGTGCTGATTGGAATGTACGTTCCAGCGACGCAGCTGGTACCGGAATATCGATACAGCGGGCGAGAAGATCCGTACGCTATGCGTACACCTCTCTGTTGGGTTCTAATGGGACCGATACCTTATGAAGAACAAGGAACAGCTGTACCTCACCGTCTACGTTCTTGTCCCAGATTCTTGTGGTGGACGGAGGGATTTACGGACCGAGTAATATGAATAACCAATGGCGCCAGGCAGCATCTTACCGACCTGCTAAATACATTCGCAAACGCTTGGGGGGAGTGTACGTTCCGTAACTATCTGCTATCAACAATGCGAGTAGAACAACTTCCCCGGTCCAGCTTCTCCACATGGTTCGGCCACAATTCGTGCCGGACGCAAGCGCATTACACGTTCATACGTCGCTGGATCATTTCTTAACGGTTCATACACTCACGCACATTCACGCACGGCACTGCTCCCATCATGTGTTGTCCTCACACGCCATCACGCGCACCGCACGATTATCGATTTCTGCTCCGTGATCGTTGACACAAGCACGCTCATGTGACCACATGTTTGTTGTCTCGGTATGGAGTCATGTGGTGACATGCACACACACTCATGACCGCTCTCTGTATGAGACACACGGACTGACGTTCATTCATCACGGTTTCCCCCATATCACGATGACCCAGAGTACCACACTTGAACTCGCACTAGTGATCACTGATCACACGAGACCACTGGAAAAGGAGTACACACACACACACAGACTAAACCGTTGGCCCTATGACCATTCCACCGCACGCACATGTAAGGTTGATTAGACCTTAATTCGCGGTTTCCTTAGTAAACGCGTGCTTCGGTCCTTCGTACTGCGTGGACCACCTGCACGTTACTCTAATGTGCGGCACTGCACAAATATGTTACCCAGAACAGTATTCTCCACGACCCGTGAGAATGAGAAGGCGATTGGGAGAGATAGTGGTTAGCGTGTATTTGGGAGCGTGCGTGAGAGCGTGCGCAAGAGCAACGGTCAAATGGCCACCGCGCTTGG